CCTCCTCCTCCTCCTCCTCCTCCTCTCGCTCCTCCTCCTCCTCCTCCTCCTCCTCCTCCTCCTCCTCCTCCTCCTGCTCCTCCTCCTCCTTTTGCTTCTCCTTCTCGTTCCTCTCCAGCCTGACGCTCTTACTCAGGCTGGTGATCGTGTCCTCTCTATCGATGGAACCCCACTGGACGAGGTACAGGGAGGAGGGAAGGAAAGGATGTCAAGAACGGAGGGAGGAGGAGGAGGAGGAGGAGGAGGAGGAGGAGGAGGAGGAGGAGGAGGAGGAGGAGGAGGAGGCCTTGGTGTCTGGTGGAGGGAGAGGCGGGTACCGAGCAGGAGCTGGTGGCAGGTATCGGATGCGATGCATCTCTCCAAGCTCACGCACGGACCCCTCGGCAGCAGCGTCATCCTCCACGTGCTCGCCTGCTGCTCCTGCCCGCTCAGTCACTCGCATGCGCAGGTACTGCGGGTGGACGGGAACGAGGAGCGACTTGTGATCCTGAGGGGAAGCTGAAGAGACGGAGAGGCGGGAGGATGAGAGGTAGTAGCCAAGTGAATGAGCGAGGAAGACGAGGAGGGAGGGAGGGAGGGAGGGAGGGAGGGAGGAAGGGAGGAGGGTTCAGTCTTAGTTGATTGATAAAGAATATTCAATGAGTTCAGATCTTCCCTCCAAGCGCTTCCTTGAAACTCTTCAGCTGCTCCTGAGAGATCCCAAGTCAGACCAATCATCATCTCGATCTCTTCTCCTCCTCCCCCTCCTTCACTCTCAACTCCTTCTCCCCCTCCTTCACTCTCAACTCCTCCTCCCCCTCCCTCACTCGCTCTCTTCTCCTCTTCCACTCCCTGCCTCTCGACTTCTCTCCTCACCGCATTCACCGCCGCCGCCTCAACGCTTGTCTTCGTCTCGAGGTTCTGAAGCTGGAAGGGGAAACGTCCGTGCTTGTCCGCACTGTCCGAGAATATGCTCTTGATGTTAGTCACTGCTCCACTTGGTCAGCACTCCTCCTCCTCCTCCTCCTCCTCCTCCTCCTCTCACCGGACGCGGAGAAGATGATCTCGGGATGAGCATGCAGGATGCTGGAGGCAACGAAAGTCACAAGGGAAGGAGCACCAGCGGCCTCTTGCCTGGGCTGCTGCGACAGGACCTGCACAGTCTGTCCCTGCACGTTCAGCCAGGCCGCCACCCATTTACTGGACGAGGGTGAGCGGGAGGAGAGGAAGGAAACTATAGCAGCACCTCCCGCTGATCTTCCTCTTCTTCACGTAGACCATCCCCACCGCCCTGCCGACTGAACTCACGCGCATGAGAGGCCTCGGACCTCGCTCACCTCACTATCACATCCTTGGTCAACAGCTTCTTCTCCAGCTTCATCGCAACGTCAGCGGCTGCTGCGGCTACAAGCAAGCAAGCACCTGTCGCACAGCCATGTCGATGGGCTGAGAGAGGACGAGGCTTGATGAGTCTCTCGTCCCAGTGGACCCAATGGAGGAACGAACATCCTTGTGCTGCACCTGCTACACAAGCCGCTAAGTCTCTCCTCCTCCTCCTCCTCCTCCTCTCACCACTGCCTCCATCGCTTCGCGAGCCTGCACGCCACGTTAGTCACAGGCCGACGAACTCGCAGCACGTGACCTCCTTCATGGAGTTTTCGCTGACGTTGGAGATCTGAGAGATCTTGCAGCAGTTTTCAGCGACTTGCGGACAGTCATTAAAGGTACCAGCGTCGGGTCTTCCAGCACTTCGCTTTCTTCCAACTCCGCCGCTCCTTCTCTTCGAGCTCCTTCATCGTGAATCTCCTGGATCCCTCCCTTGAAGGAAGACCGCATCTAGCCAGCAATCACCTTCACCCATCTCCCTCGCTCTGCTCTCCTACTCCCCCTCTGCCTGCCCCTCACTCCTCTCTCTGATCTTCTCTATCGACAGACCTGCTGATTCTCCTTGCGCAGCTTTCCTCTAAATTGTCCCATCTTGCAGTGATATCAGCCACTTGAAACAGTGGCAATACACGCGTGCAGGAGCAATCATGGAGCAGAAATAAGGAAGTACGAGCGAGGGAAGCAGGGAGGGTCAGGATGAGACAGCGGGAGAGGGATCAAGTGGGAAGAGAGGGGGGGGGGGAGGAGGGAGGGAGAAAGGAAGGGGGCAAGTGTTATCAGCTCGGCTTCAGTAGAACATCACCTTAATACTGTTGAAGTCAGGAGGGAAAATTTCCAGATCTTCTCCGAATGATCTCTCCGAGGACTGGGCAACGAACGTGAGCTGGAGCCCTTGACACGCTCAACAAGTTTCTCACCTGCTCCTCTCTTCCTCCATCCCCCACATGGGTTGCTAGCGCAACTTCCAGCGCTGGGATGCGTCGTACCCCTTCGCTCTCCACCTCCTTGTCCCGCTTCCCCGACAACTTATGCGCGCTCTGTGGACCAGTCCTGACTGACCCGTCGGAACTGCAAGTACGATGGTCACGGGGGCTGCTGGTCTCGCAGCCAGGCTGGAGGTCGCATGCAAGGCCTTACCGGTCTCTGTCGCTCAAGCTCGAGTCTCCTTTCACATCTTTGCTTATCCTGCCGTATATAAGCGCCGACCACCAGATCGGCTCAACTCACTTGGCTTTCAGCTCGAACTGATCGTCGTCGTCATCACTGCCCAGCACGTCAGCGGCTGACCTGCTGCCAGCACTCTCTGAGCTCTCACCTGTCTCCCTTGCAGCAGTTCGAACGACGAACGGGCGCGCAACACTACATGACGAAGATCAGACACGACGCAACCTGGTCGACCCTAGAGCACCTTGACAAGCACTTCGCATCTCCTGTCACTCCTGCCGTTGGGCATCGAGTTGATTTCGAGTCAACTGTCGAAGCTTTCAGTGACTTGATACATAGGCTTTTGACTGCTCCATTTCATCCTTTCTTCCTGCCAACTCTGTCCTAGAATCCTTACTACACCGAAATATCGCTTCATATGTAACAGACATCTAATCGTGCCGTGAGGGTCTTCACGGCATTGCAAGTTGCTGATGAATCGATTCTCCATCACTCACTCACTCACTCACTCACTCCTCTCCTCTCCTCTCGCATCATCACGTCTCGACTCGTTTGTTGCGATTTTCATTCGATTCGTCGATTGGCCAAGAAAACACTTTCATGCTATGACATCCTCTAGCATCATCTTCTTGAATGAAATTCCTTTCAGTCCTCTTCTCTCTCCTCTCTCATCTCCTCTCTCATCTCCTCTTCTCCTCTCCCTTCCTCTCCCCTCCTCTCTCCTCTCCTCTTTCCTCCTTACCTGCCGTCGGCTTACTCCTTCCTGTCGGTACCACCCTGACCTTCAAATGACCCCCAGTACCCTTCTTCTCATATCCAATCACCCGGTACTATCTCAGTAGTACCCCTACCTCCTATGAATTGAAGTACCCCCACCCCTCGTCGAAGGTTATTTTGGGCAAACTCTCTGAGCGGCCTGATCCCAATAGAGGTTTAAGGGCCCTCATCCCCTTCATTCCCCGTTCCGAAGTTCGGCTCCGAGGCAGGCACGGCAGCAGGGCTCCGAGAGCCAGTAACTCGCGGCGGCGGCCGCCGGCCGGGCCCAGCCCGCCGCCGGGGTCCCGGGCCGGGGGCCTCCGAGCCTCGAGTCCCGGCCCGTCCGAGCCGCACAGGCTCAGGCTTGAAAGTTGGTCTTTGGCAGTGCACCCCTCCCGGAGTCCGATCAGACTTTCCGAACTCTCCGCTCGGCCCCAACTTCAAGCCAAGGGTTCCGAGTTCTCATGCTGATTGTCGGAGTCGTGTGTCACTAGCTAGTATGAACAAAATCGTGACTCCGATCCGTGAGCCGGGCTCCTACGGCCGTTCAAAACAAGTTCAAAGCTAAAAAAGAGTTTGACTGGCGGTTATCACACGGCCGTTACAATTGATACAACGTTAAGGCGGTTGCCCGAGGGGAATGCAATATGGCGGATGACAATGAGGCGATGAGCACGGCGGAGGGAGGAGAGGAGAGGCAGCAGGAGCAGCAGGAGCAGCAGGATAAGCAGGAGCAGCAGGAGCAGCAGGGGCAGAAGGATCAGGAACAAGAGCAGGAGAAGCAAGAGGAGGAGGAGGAAGTCAAGCAAGGCGAGGTCAGCGACAAGACGGAAGCTCAAGAGAGCTCGAAGCAAGCACCCGAAGATGCTCCTGCTGCGGCGTCTGACGAGCCGATGGATGCGCAAGAACCCACGCAGCCTGTCACTGGCACGAGCGAGGAAGGGAACGCTGAGGATCCGGTCGACAGAGCGCCAGACGCTGGACCGCCAGTTGAAGAGGTGGTGGACGAGGAGCAAGTGGCAAGAGAGCGAGCGAACGCCATCATCCTCGCCTGCGTCCAGTGGATTGAAAGTCGAATTGAGATTCCAAATGCAGGGCGTTCGGACTCGCTCCCCGAAGAATGCCGGCTGGTGATTACAGAGTTTGTAACCAACGAGTCCAAAGATTCACTGTTCGTATTCAAAGACAAGGGAGAAAGCTCCATGAAGGCTCAGTTCTATCCTCCTCCTGCTGATGTGATCGAGGGGACAGTATCATACTTCCTCAAAGAGAATGAAGAGCAGAGCTTGACTGAGCTGTTCGAACAAAACCAGCTGACTGAGGGCATTTTGTTTGGATTCTTACAACCTGACAACATGGTCGATGATTTGGTTTCGATGGTGGGGAACTTGTTTCTCCCCCAGGTACGCGGAAAGAATCCCTGGCCGATCGCCATCAACAAGGACATCATCGGCAGTCTTGAGAGTTTCATGGGGAACATGACGGATATCGCCAACCTTGTTGCTGGTAAAACCATCTTGTATGTCCCACAGGACGACCTTGAGAACGTGAGTCATCATTGACCTGTGTGACTTCAGTCACTTGTGACATCGCTGGCAGATCGCCTGGTGCGCCAAAGACAAGGACCTCGTTCAGCGGCTGGAAAGCTGTGTGATTCATTGGACGAGGCAGATTAAGGGAGTCGTGGCAAGCGGGCTGGGGTATGAGGTACGCCT